CTGGATTTGGAGCCTCTTACTGTAACTAGGGGATTGGGCAAGTTTCTTAACCTCGTAACATCTTTGTTTTCCTGTGCATGAAATGGAGATGACGTTGTCTGCCTTACAAGACTGTCTTGAAGATTCCCGAGATAAAGTTTTTAAAGCATCTATCAGAGAGCCTGGTACATAGTAGGTGTTCAGTATACTATGGCTATTATCACATGCAGAAGGGACTGTTACTGCGGTGTATTTATCTGTATGTTGGTCTTCTGGGTGTGTGGTCACCAGTACAGAAATTCAAGGTGGCCACAAAGTCTAGAAGCATAGACAGTGTTACTTCATCATGCATTGTACTGTAATAGCAAGAAATGATTTACTATGTACTTGTGGCCCCCCTGTGTATACCTTAAGGTTATGAGCCTCCAAGGGACTGCTAAAAGCTGAGAAATAATAAAAGAGACTAAACATCCATTCAAACTTTCTGGAGATGAGGGATCTTCCCTAGCCTGGTCCAGTGACTACACCCAAGAGGTACTTAATGGACAGACAGGATCAAAGAAAAGGATCATAAAGGTCTTCTTTTAAAATCAAGGAAACCAGAGCCCAGAGAGGGCCAGTGGCTTGCTAAAGTTATCCAGCAGGGGTGTAGCCGCAGATCAAAGGTCGGTGTTTGCAGTTTCTGACAGTTAGGTCTGTGGCTTTCCACAGTACCTTCCACAAATGTGGAAGAAATAAAACCAGTGTGGTTTGGAATCCGGATCCTTTCATCGGCTGAGACCCACTTGGGCTCATCCAACCTGGTGGAGACTCAGAAGGTCTCCTTGGAGTGATGACAGGACAGAGCAGGGGATCTTGAGTGGTCCTTTGAGCCCTTGGATTTCTCTGGGGCTTGCAGTGTTTGCACTGGTCTAGACATTTTCCACCAAACCTCCCCGCAAATATTTGAAAGCCTTGACACAATGCCACACAAATAAACATATCTAAAGCCCTCCCGTGTCAATAGCCCGAAGTCCTTAGTCAGTCAGCAGTGATCAGAGGACAAAACCAAAACCAAAACTTGACTCCTCAAAAGTTTTTAGAAGGTAAACCTCAAAGACCATCTAGAAGTTGACACATTTTTGTTGTGGTTAAAGTCACTATTGTTATTGATGCCGTTCATTGAAAGCTTGGGGTGGCAGCCGGGTGGGGGCTGTGTGTGTGTTTTAACAGCTCTTCCATGACGCAGAAGAAATTCCCTGGAGTAGCAAATGCTGTTTTAAAAAGTAACGTTTAAACTTCAAAAAAAGATGCCTCTTTTTTTTTAAATAAAGATTTTATTTATTTTTAGAGAGAGGGGAAGGGAAGGAGAGAGGGAAAGAAATATCATTGTGTGGTTGCCTCTCACACGCCCCCTACTGGGGACCTGGCCCATAACCCAGGCATGTGCTCTGACTGGGAATCAAACTGGTGACCCTTTGGTTAGCAGCCTGAGCCCAATTCCACTGAACTACACCAGCCAGGGCTGCCTCTTGCTTTGTTTCAAGAGTCGCATGTTCAACCTTTGAATTACCCCTTTACCTAACAGGTGTGGGGGAAAGACTTTAGAATTGGATTAAATGGGAAAAACTGCTCTGGAATTATGAGATGGCTCATTTAATAAGCTTCCCATCATTGGTAAAGGAAAAAATGTACTGTTTGCTCTCACATTAGCAAATCTGGCAATAGCACTAAAGATTTGGATCTTCTTCAGGGAGATGGAGAGACAGTCCCATGAAATGTCAGTAACAATAGTAGTTTAAAAAGTTTAGACCAAAGAAGCCACAGTGGGTAAGCACAGGTTATAGAAATCTCAGGACAGTCACTTAGCCTGATGGCCTACCCATCACCATCCATCACCCCCGATCACCAAAGAGTCTTTACATAATGACCCTTCCTTCTGTCCAACCTTCCAACCTTGTAAACTGAGAGAGTCCTAGTTCCTAAAACAGTCTACTTTATTTAGCTCAGGTAATCACAGGTTAATCAGATCAACTATCCACTGGTAATTAGTAAACAAGCCCTTTGACCAAAGCAGGGAACCAAATAATTTTAATGTATCATTATTAGTAGTACAAAAATAGCAACTAACATTTATTGAAAGCTCACTCTGTGACATCACTGTACATTATTTAATTTGATCTTCACTAAAACTTTGAATTTGTGCTATATCATCTCCATTTTTACCCATGTAGAATCCAAGTCCTAACTGGTACACTGTTCTAGTTTAAATACATTAGAGTCTCTTTAGAAACAACTGATAGAATTTCAGGATTATAAAAGCCATAAAAGATCATATGATCTGAATAAATTATCTTGTATGTTTATTTTTATTAATACTTGACTGGCAGTAATTTATATGTCATAAAGAGAATCACACTATAAAAATGCTTGAAATTTTTTTCCACTTAATACACTGATGTACCTTGAAATAAAGAAATAATGGCTAAAAAGTTCAACAGCAGTTGAGATGAAGGAAACTTACTTTCCCATTTTGCCTTAATTTTTTTTACGATGACATATCACCAAGAACAACAAAAAGAAAGTTATTTCCATTCTTAAAACATTAGAGAAGATTCCAGCACTGCATAGGCCTGCGTGGAGGGATGTGAGTCCTTCTGCACAGGCAGCAGTAATCGTTCACACCTGCACAGGGCCTCACGGTTGGCAAAGCACTTTTGCATACCACTTCAGTTTAATCCTCACAGCAGTCCTATACAATATGTAATGTGATGCAACTTTGGGGGCAAGGAAGCTTCAAGAATTTATAGTATGCGTGGCTCAAGGTTCTATGTATTTATCAGGTAGAACTGGAAGTCTGGTCTCTCATCTCCAAGTGCTGTCTGTATTCCACTAACCCAGTATCTTCTTGTAATTACTTACCCATGTGCCCTGGGTCCTAATATTTTCTGGATGCTGCTCTGCCACCTCTTCCGTATAAGTTTCTGTTAGAAGTTTTCACTCTTGGGACTTGTTGTTTGGAAAAGGATAGCTGTCTTGTAACAGTTGTTCTTGATCGCTGGAAAGATAAAGATAATGCCTTTTGAATGTCTGGTTCTTAGCTAGACCCTCTGTGGAATGATGGTATGTGCATTGCAATTCTGAATACAGCACCTCCTACAAGGGTCTCCCTCCCCTGCTCCTTGCTGCAGACTTCCTTGAGCCCTTACAGCCTGCAGACCCAGGTCCTGGGAGAAACTTCCAGAGAAGAACAACCACAGTCAGCCTTACTGTACGTTTCCTGTGTGCCAAGCATCTGCCAGTCTTCTTTGTAAGAAGTCCCAACAATAATAGTGTCCCCATTTCCTGGGGAGGAAACAGCTTTAGAGACTTAAGTCACTGGCCCACTGTCACAGTCATTAAGGGTTGGGATGGAAATTCATCCCCAGCAAGCAGTCCTCACTGCCCATGCGCTTAAATGCTCCTCTCGGCTGCCCTTGAGGAGTAGAAAATGAGTAAGAAGGAATCGGGGTCCTGATTTGTTTTTTAAAAGAATAGACACATGTGCACACACACACACACACACACACACACACCTGTGTACACATACATGAAGGAAACAGACAAACCAACTAGCAATTGGTTGGAGAAAGAGAGGCAGCTGGAGACTGGGAATCAGGTAGTAAATGGGTGAAAAGAGAGACTGTTTTTAGTTCATACTTCATATAACTGAATTTTCTATGTCTATTAAGTTTTTTTCCATTGTGGTAAAACAGATAGAACATTTAGCATCTGAACCATTTTGAAGTATTGTTTAAGGACCATTTCGGGGACCGTTCAATGGTACTAAACACATTCACAGTGTTGTGTAGCCACCACCATCTTTCTTCAGGACTTTTTCATCTCAGAAAACCGAAACTGCGTTTATTAAACAATAACTCCCACTTCCTCTCCCCCCACCAGGCCACGTTTATTCTCATACTTTCTGTCTCTGTGAAGTTGGCCGTTCTCAGTAACTCTCATGAATGGAATCATACAACATCTGTCTTAGGATGACTGGCTTATTTCACTTACTGAGCATAATGTCCTCAGGTTTCGCCCATGTTATGTGTCAGAATCTCCTTCCTTTCTAAGGCTGAATAATATTCCATTGTCCGTAGGTAGCATAATCTTGCTACCATTCATCCACTGATGGGCACTTGGGTTGCTTCTGCCTTTCGGTTGCTGTGGGTAAGGCTGCCATGGACACGGTTGTACAGATGTCGCCGTGAGACCCTGCTTTCAATTCTTTTGGGTGCATACCCAGAAGTGGAACTGATGGATCATTTGGTGATATTTATTAGTTTTATCATTTAAAAGTGAAAGTCTCTTTTAAGTGAGTGCTCAGGTAGATTAGAAAAGTACTTCATAATGAGCCAGAGAAGGCAACAGCGAAAACAATGGGCTTAAGGGGCAGTGTGGGTGTCGCAGGCTCCAGAAGCACTAGATTTCTGAGGGTGGGGCAGGCTTTGTGGCTTCACACTCCCCCTACCCTGTGCCCCACACCACGCCCATCTTCTTGTAGGTATGCAGTATACAAGCATTAAAGGAATGGCTTCACCAGAGCACCTAGGCAGGTGGCAGGACTTCCCAAAGGTAACAGAAGGACTCCATGGAAGCAGTACCCCGGTGACAGTGGAGCACAGGACTTTGCCACCTGCTTACTGCATGACCTGGGACACCCCACTTCTTAAGCCTTAGTCTCCTCAGTTACGTGAAGCACAACCCACCTTTTATCATCAGGTGATGGTGAAAATTCACTGCTCACTTATCCATTCATTCAACAAATATTGCACCCCTCCAATTTGAAATGAGAACATTTCACTTGATAAACACTGCTTGAGTTTTCATTTTGCGTCACTTTGTACAGTATTTTTGTATTCACAGAGCACCTTGTCTCCTCCCTTTATTTTTAGAGCCAGTCTCTAAAGAGAATAAAAGTGTCCCAGGTTCTCTGAGAGCTTCAAACATGACTTCCTTCTCTTGGCTACATGAACCTGAAGCTTGTCTTCCGTGTCCTACAGGAGAAAACTTCTGGGTCAGAAACGTCTGGGAAACTGTGCACTCCTCAGCTCTCCGAAGAACGTGTCGGCTTTTCTCATCCGTAATGGTCATCCCCAGCTGCAGGGAGAAGTTAATGAGGTGTGCGGGACAGTGATGGGAAAGGGGCCGCCTTTGCTTCACTCCTGACATCACTGCACAGTGAGGGCCACAAAGGGGAACTCGCCACAGGGGAGAGACATGGACCAGAAAACAATATCCACTTCATTAGCCACTGATTCTGAGTGTGTGCAAGGGGGCCAAGGTCCAGCCTACAGACTGTGACAGACATTCCTACAACACGGCGAGGTCTGGGCGAAGGGGGATGGAGAGAATCCTCACCGCCTCTACCCAGTGGCATTTTGGTGACATTTTTCTTTTATTCTTTTTTTTTCTCCTTCCCTCCTTCTCTTTCTCTCCTTTCTCTTTCTTTCTTTCTTTCTTTCTTTCTTTCTTTCTTTCTTTCTTTCTTTCTTTCTTTCTTTCTCTTCTTTTTTCTTACTTTTTTCCCTCCCTTTATTTTTTTCTTTGAAAATGTTATTCACTTGATCTTTTTTTCTCATCATCCCCTTTTCCTTTTCTTCTTTTTTTCCTTTCTCTCATTCTATACCTCCAATCAATTTCCTCTTTATTCTAAATTTTCAAAAATTCCTGAGAGGCAGATATCTAGTGACCTCTAGCCAGATTTTCACATGTCACAAAACAAAATGTAGCAGTGCTTCTAGGCGCTCAAACAGGGGTCCTGGCGTGGAGTGTACAAGGTGACACATTGTAGGTACAGGCTGAAAACATTAACTCTTATTTTTATATTTACATTAATTCCATGGCCATTTGTCTTGTGTCTGCTTTAAAACAAGCATAAACTATTAGTACCGTAGCATATATAGTAGGTTAATTAATTAATACAAATAATAGAATTGAGTTGCCCAAACTTTTTATTTTAACTGAGAGGAGCAATTGGGAAAAACATTTACCAATTTCTGCTTTAAAGAAAAGCCCCTGAAACTCTGAATAACACGTGATTAAACTCACTGCTATACACAGTCAGAGCCTTTGACTGCGCTCCCAGGGGATCTCGGGGTGCACTGTAGGCCCCAATCAGTGAGGGGGGCTGAGGCTGGACACCCCAAGAAGTGCGGTCCCTGCAGAGAAACTGTGCGGAGTCTGATTTTGGGCCGCCTCTCACGCACTGGGGAAGTCTTCCCTGGGAAGACCCCTCACTCACGATGGTGTCTGCCCCACTCCCTTTCTGTCCCTCCGCCCTTGATTCCCGCCCCCCCCCCCATAGTCCATGTCACCTGACACACCATGCGTGCTCACTCCTCAGTTTTGTCCCTGACTCCGCCCCTCGCCGCAGCGGAGAAGCTCCGCTAGGACAGGGCCTTCTGTTTTTATTCCCGCTCTGCCTTCAGTGCAGGACAGTGCCCAACACAGAAAGGGGTTTGATAAGCAAACAAAGTGCTGCTAAGTGACACCAAACGTGGCTCAGGGGGAGTTGGTTAGAGATGGGGTCCTGGGGTCAGGTCTCCTCTTCTTCATCCTTAATCTCCTGGAGGCTAATTTCACAGCAACTGTGGACCTTAAATATGCCAGTTCAAACACTCTCTGGCTCCCTGGCTCCCTGGCCAGACTGAACGCCTTCAGGGTAAAAATTGCCTTTAAATCCCCAGCATTTCACATTGAGTAAGTGCTTAAATAGACATTTGTTGAACGAATATGCATGTACTCTATGCCTTGGACACCCAGGGAGGTGAATCCGCACAAAGCCGAGTGAGTAGCAGACGCTCACAGAGTGGCCTGCACGCGTGCCCGTCTAACCACCGCTGACGACTCGGGCGGTTTAGAAAGTCCGCTCCTGTGCCTCTGGTAGTCACATCCACTTCAAGAAGGTACAACAGAGTCACGTAGTGTCTTAGAATAGCTAAGGGTGGCATCATGCATCCAACGATAGTACAAAATAGCAAGTTACTGTTTGATAAGGTAAGTTCCTAGGCTCTGCGGGTCAGGCCAGTTGAGGAATGTTGAGGACCTACTATGTGCCTCAGGTCCTGGAGACACAGAGGTTAATAAAAATGCAAACTTGCCTTTGAGGAGCTTCCAGATTGGTAGGTGGGAGGTCATTTAGACAACAGGAGCAAAGAGCTAGAAGAGAGATAAGCACGGAGGATGCCGGAAGCAAAAAGAAGGAGCAGAGAACCCACGGTTTTTCAGTGTTGGCACCATTGACACTTTTGACCAGATTGGCCTTTGTTTTGAAGCCTGTCCTGTGAATTGTAGGCTGTTTAGCAGCGTCTCTGGCCTCAACCTATTGGATGCTGCAGCAGCAACCCCTTAAGCAGGACAAAAAGAAGACTCTCTATACATTAGGACCAACTATATAAGTGTGGAGCCCACTGCAAGATGAAAATGTGAGGCCCCTCATTCAAAAAGCAGGGGGAAAGTATCATTAGTAGAGAAACTAAAACACAGCCCTGGCTGGTGTAGCTCAGTGGACTGAGCAACAACCTGCAAACCAAAGAGTTGCTGGTTCGATTCCCAGTCAGGGCACATGCCTGGGTTGCAGGCCAGGTCCCCAGTTGGGGGTGTGTGAGAAGCAACTGATGGATGTTTCTCTTCTCTTTCACCTGCCTTTCTCCTCTCTCTGAAAATAAACAAATAAAATCTTTAAAAACAAAGGAATTAAAATATAAAGATTTCATTTTCTCAGTAGTCTATTCTCTTCCTCTTCCTCCCACCCCGGCCCTCCTGTCCTTGTTCTTACTCTCACTCTCCCTGTTTTCTATTTGCTATTTAATGTCATATTCCCTGGGAAACGGGGGCACTAGCCGTACAGACCCTCGCAGGTGTCCAAGGACCCCACTCTGTGCGTCAGTGTGCACAGGTGCGCTCAGCCCAGAAGCCGCCAGTCTCCTCCTCTGACCAGCCATTGGAGCCGTATGTTGTGCCCCAGCCGGGGGCGTGGAAGTGAAGCCAGGCATCTACCCTTCCCACAGCTGCTGGTCCAACCCATAGCAGATAGGCCACCCCCAAGGGCACTGCAACGAGGACAGGTGAAGGGCTCGTGTAGAGGCTTGCCTGATGCTCCATGGAACTGCCAGCTTGGGTCCCGAGGGCCAACACCATGCCCTGCCCTGAGACACAACAGGCCAGAACACCTGATCCCAGGCTCCCTGTGCCGACAATCAGGCCCTCTGAGGGCACAGAGGGCAGCGATGGTTGCCAGGCGGGCAGAGGGAGAGAGAGACCTGGCAGGGCCAGGGACACCAAGTTGTAAGGACCTAGAGCCAAAACTCCATCCCGGAAAGTCCGGGAGGAGGTGAGCGGAGGCTCCAAGCCCCTGGGCCATGCTCCACTGCCCCGTCAGACTTCACTTACAAAACAGAAGTTCAAAGGTAAATTTATCAAGCAGTTCAAGATGGACTAAGAGCATTAAACCCAAAGAACGCCCATGAAGCTAGGCCCTGCCACATATGGCCAAATCTCCCCTAAGGGCCAAAATCACCCTGAGTTGAGAACCACTGAACTCAACCTGGGGTTATGTGGGGACTTCCCAAAGGAGTGAGCCCTGGCCTGAGCCCAGAGGGTTACAGGGAAGGGGGTGGGGTGGAGATTATTAGAAGGGATAGAATTAATCTGGAAGCTTCCTGCAGCTCATGAATGTTGAAGCAAGTTTCGGGAGAAGTTGTGGAATTTGGTTTGACCTTTAAGCTTTGGTTTGACCTTCAGCTCATCTTCCTGCCCGAAATGCTCACTGGCATTTTGTTGTCAAGGTCCTGGTTATCCCTCAAGAGCTCTGAGCCCCCACAGAACTTTGCTATTGCTCCTATTACTATTAACATTTGTTTCTATTTATCAGTTGTGCCAGTTGTTTACATATATTATCTTTTCTTCCAAATTTTATAGTATTTTCCCTTTGACAGCGGAAGACACTGAGGTGCAGAGCAGCGACTTGCCCGAGGTCACACCTAGGAAGCCTCAGAGGCAGATTTGAAAACTGCAGGAGCCTTTGTGTCACACTGACGGAGTCGGTGTGACTCTAAGCCACACACTGACGCTTGTATTGCAGCTGCCTCTGGGCCGGCACAGAAAATGCCTGGAGCCAGACAGAGTTGCTTTTGAATCTCAGCTCCATATGAGCAAAGACAGGCTTTCTGCACCTCAAGCTCCCTGAGCATCAGTTGAGAAAACAAGAAGTAGAAATAGTGATCCTGTCTCATGGGACCGACAGGAAGAGTAAATGAGATGCTTTCTGTGGAACAATCAGCACAGTGCTTATTCTAAAGCCTGTGCCAGTCTACCTAGCACTAAAGGCATGGCTGTCTCTCCCGGTATATAACCAACTCCTTTAGAGCAGAAACTGAAACTTGTTCACCCCAGCAGTGCTGGATACCTCCTGCAGTGCCCAGCACATAGTAGGTGCTCAGTGAATGTTTGCTGCCCTGACTCGGCACCCTGATAGCTCTCCACCCCCAGGCCTGGAAGCAGGGTCTTTGTCTAGCTACCAGAGTGTTAAAGGATACTACCGCTTAGCATGAAGTCCAGGGGTCACCTTCATGCCTAAGGTGCATGTCGTGGACAGCATTTCTGAGCAGACACAGGCAGGTTGGGCAGAGGCAGGGTCCACTCTGGTCCTGCTCTACAACCAAGAACTAGGATGGGAGGAGAGGAGACTTATTACGCAGGGTAACACCAAGTGGGTAGTGGTTCCTGACTCATAGATTGGACCTAGTGCCTTTGCTGACACCCTTCAGCTTTTCCATCACAGACACATGGCACTGGGAGTAGAAATGGGGGTCTCTCATTGTGTCTTATTCCTAGGTCTCGCATGTGCTCCTGGGCTACACACACCTCGTGCTACTCTTGTCATTATACAAACACAGTGTTGTAGAGAAAACAGTGGAGTCCAGATTCACATGACTTGGGTAAACAGATGGTGACCCACCTTCAGGGGGTCATTTTTCTTCTCCGAGCCTCAGTTTCTTCATCTGTGAAATGTGAGTACTAACGCCTGCCTTGCCTTCTTTGTGGGACTATCTTGAGGATCAAACAGAAGGAGAAAGATCTTTGCCCACCATAAAACGCTGAGCAAACATTGCAGGTCTTTATGTGGCAGGTACCTCCGTAGACAGGAAAGACTTTGGTCTCCCCTTCACGTGCACGCACCCCCAAGACTGCTCTCTGCGCGGAGACCGTGCGGGCTGTTTCCAGGAGCTCCACTCTGTTTCGGTGAGTGGAGGACTTGGGAGATGGGAAAGAGCCGAAAGGGAGACGCTTAGGATTGCGCAATCCGTAGTTCAGGTCCAAGGTTCCATTTCTTAACAGTTTGTGGGTCCCTGGGCTTATCCTGATCATCTTGGAGCCTCTGCTTTCCCATCATTAAAGAGGGGATGGTACTGTCTACCTCATAGGTT